CCAAGAAAAGCTTAAGGTTTCTTTGCCTTCTGATTGGCGCCGCTTCCGGTCCGCCTCGTTTCTGATGGCCTTAGGATCATGGCGACGAGGTGGATTCCGGCCTTTGCCGACGGAAGGGCTTCATTTTTAGATATTTTTTTAAATTTTGTTAGGTTTTATGTTCTGCTTAGGAAGACGAGACAACGGCGGCTTCTTGAAGATGGAATAAGTCTGCCCCGTCTAGGCCTTGTTTCGATGGTGTGTCTAGCATCATCGGTGGGCGTGTGGAGGTGTGTCTTCGGCAGATCTATCCTTGATGGATTTGCTCGGATCTGATCGTAGTTCGTCTATGTTTGTGTTTTTTCAGGTTGGATCCTTCCAATCTACGCTACTCTTCATCGGTGGCGGTTGCTGTTCTGCCGCGCTGGTCCTATGGGGCCTTAGCACGACGACTTTCCAACTCTTTACTACAATAAGTTTTGCCCGACTCCGACGAGAAAGGGGTGATGACGACGGCGCGCCTTTGGCTTGCTTCAGTGCTTGTAATCGTCGCTAGATGGTCTACGGACATATATGTAATTTTTATTATTTTTAATGTTCATTGTATTGCCATGATTAAAGATGAATAGATTGTATTTTTTTTGAAAAAATACTAGAACGGTTTGGGTTGATCGTTTGTACGTGTTCGGATGCCCCGTTGTGATCGCCAAGCCAAGCGACGGACGAGGGATGAGTACAATGATGATCTCGCTGACTTGATTCGGATCGTGCGTGGGCAGGCATGCTGGCAAGATTAGCATATCTAGGCGCCGACGATATGATGGTCATCATGATGCTAAGGAGACGCTAAGTACCTAGTAAAAATTCAGATGGGTCACCACCATAAGGAAAAAGGCTAGCTCGCCTTTGTGCTTGTACAAGGACCTCAATGAAGTAAAAACGTAGCGTTCGTTAAAAAGTCCCTTCGCCATATCGACTACCAGATGTCTATCGCGACTTCATCAATCTTAAAATGTTGTGCCGGCTCAATATCTTGAAGGTGCTTATAAAGATAAGGTATGCATGCGTGTGTTCATAGGGTGAATATATATGCATGTATGTGAACATCTACGTTATAATGTGTTAAAAGATGAATACTTTCCACGTGAGACTATGTTATTCACTGTCTGCACGTCCACTGTCAAAGTACCTCTGAACCATTGTTGGCGCGGACGGTCATTCACGAGGGCTGTGAGGCTATAATGCTTCGGTTGCATCATTGGAAAAAGTCTGAAATAAACCTCCAACTTATAGACGGAAGTTAAATCAAACCCCAAACTTTAAATTCTGGAAATCAGCACACTGAATTATTTAATCCTGATCTATTTTGATCCTTGAGAGAGTTTTTTTTGAGGGGTGAAATATTCATTTATTCATCACCGAAATCTACATGATGTGGGATACAACGAGGGTCATGAGAGGTGCCAAACCAGACGTGGCGACCCAGACCCTGAGAAACAGAAAAACGAGCTAATCTATGTGCTTCATAATTAACAGCACGACCCTCGAAAATAAACTTGAAATTATGCAACGCGACTTTCAGCCTAATCTCAGCAATGATCGCTCCATGCACCCCTAGTGTTCCAGACGTGATATCGGACACCACTTGCTTGCAGTCCCTGGAGATCACGCAATGTGTCAGATTCATGTCCTCCGCCAGGGCTAGCGCCTCCCTGCATGCCACTGCCTCCAGTGTTATTGGATTGCTCACACCATGAATAACCAGCGCCGAGCTTCCCAGGTAGTTTCCTCCTTCATCTCTGCAAACGGCTGCTGCTGCTCCACCTCGCTCATGCCTAACAGCAGCATCAACGTGGATCTTAGCAAACCCCGACGGTGGAGCCTTGGCTCTTGGGCGGGCTGGAGTAACCGATGCAGGTACCCGAATCGGTGCAAGTTTCTGTTGAACTGAAACTATCTGTAAATCGTCGATGAACCTGTGAATGAATGCTTGGGTAGATTGTGGACTCTGAAAGATCCCTTCGTGTATGCTTTTCTCCTAGCTGACCAGATCGCCCATTGAGTGACAGAGAGCAGCACAAACTTGTCATGCTCCAGCATCTCCATTAATGAAAACAGCCAGTGTTTGGCAGTAGGTTCCGTAACCATCATCATTTTATGCACCAGCTCGTCATCGATCAATGCCCACACGCATCTGGATGCAACACATTCCAGCAACGAGTGCCTCCACAAATCTGGCGCTCCGCACAATCCACAACTAGCCGAATCAGTCATATGTCTGTGCGCTCGTACGTCGTTTGTGGGCAAGGAATGCTTAGATAGTCGCCACAGAAACATTCTCACCTTTGCCGGGACGGGCGTTTTCCATAAAGTTTTCCACGTACCTTCCTCATCATTTGAATTTGAGGAGCCGGGATTTCCATCAAGCCAAGCTTCTCTTCGTTGCTTAGTGGCCACTAACATACGATATGCAGACTTGACCGAAAAAACTCTGTGCTTCTCATAGTGCCAGCTCCAGAAATCAGACAAGTTTCGGGTGCATAGTGGGATGCTCAGGATTATTCGGGTGTCCATCGACAAGAAGGTCGCTTCTACTTTCGCTCGGTCCCAAGACGCGGATGTATGATCGATTAGCTCAGACACTCTGCTTGGTGGATTTATCACCAAACACCCATATGGTCTCAGCATCTCCTCCCTCGGGATCCAGTTGTCCCTCCATATATATGTTGTCTCTCCATTCCCGATCCTTCTGATCAATCCTTGTTTCAGTATATCTCTGCCTTCAACTACAACCCTCCACACTTGGCTAGGATGGCCACCCAAATTAGCTTCTAAAATATCAGACTGCGGGTAGTAGATGCTTCTAAGGATTCTGGCACATAGGGTATTGGGACGCTGCAGCAACCTCCAGGCTTGTCTAGCTAGCATAGCTAGATTAAACAATTCAAAGTCCTTGAATCCTAAACCCCCCATACCCTTAGGTTTTGGTGGGGCAGTAAGGATGGCAAAAGAAAACCGCATTGGGTTTCTTGGCAAACGATCCTTGAGAGAGTTACCAAACTTGTCGACGTGGCATGTTAAATCCGGAATTGTTGGCTGCGGACTCCACTATGCCGGCCCACCAGGCATGAAGCGATTTTTTTTCTTTTTCTTAAAGCGCAACGTGTAAAGTACATTTGCCTCAAAAAAAGTGAAAAGTACATAACAAAAACAACTCCGGCTGAGTAGAACTTGGGATCTGACAGAACTCATCCCGATAGCCACTAGAACAGATGACTATGAATGATATAATTAGAGGCCCGAAAATTTAAGCACACGCCAAAGCGTTGAACTTTGAAAACTTTTTGGGGCAAAACATTTTTTAATTTATATAAAATGGGAATTTTTTTGAAACTACAACAAATGTGTAAAGAAAATGTCTGTGACATCAACAAAATATCACTAGTTTAGATAAATGTATGTGGTATTTCAAAAAAAATGTTTGCAGAATGTAAAATAATATTCGTGTGATTCAAAAAAATGTTTAGTCCATTAAAAATGTAACATTTCAAGAATGTTCACGAGTTTCAAAAATGATCTTCTGACATTTAAAAAAAATGTGTATACAATTTTAAAAAAATGTTTGCGTGATGTAAAACAGTGTATCACACCCTTAAAAGACTATATGCGACATATATTTGAAAAAAAGTGTATACAATTTTAAAAAATGTGTAAGAATGGAAAAAATGTTAGTGTAGTTTATAAAATGTTTATTGTTGTTAGGAAATTGTAAAACGTGTATTTGGAAAAATATTACCATGTATTAAAAATATATTTGAAACATGTATTTTAAAAAATGTACGGAATGTATTTGAAAAATGTCAAAAGTGTATCAAAAGTTATTTCATGTGTGCGCTAAACATGTACATTGGGTACTGAGAATAATTAGATATGTGTAAAAAAGAAAATCGGTAACCAGTAAAGAATCAAAATAAAAGCAAAAAAACAAATAATATGAAAAAAACAAAATGATTCAAAAGTATAACGAAGAAAGAAAATCAGTGAAAAAACAAAGTATAGCGAAGGAAAGAAAGTAGAAGAAAAGCGATGAAAAACCAAAGTAAAAACAAACGAAATCAAAAAAAGAAAAAGAAAAGAAAAACAAGAGCAACGCTAGCGATTCCGCTAATGTGCCTGCCCAATTCAGCGAATACCAGCTAGATCCTCTCAAGGTTTGAAATAGACCAGGATGCTGATTTCAAGGATTGAGAGTTCATGATTTGGTTTAGCTTTCGCCTACAAGTTTAAGGCTTATTTTTGACTTTTACCTGCATCATCTGATGCGCGAGATTGTGTGCAGCTCAGTCAATCCTTTATCAATGCAACTCTATTTCTGAGCAGTAAAGATCGTTGCACTGATGAAGCTAAGATCGTAACTAGCGTCACTCGAAGGCCTCCGGCTATGCCTGGAATAGGTTCCTATGTCAGCTTGGAAAAAAAAAAGCTTGGCTCTGATGTGTTTCTCTGTCTCCAAACTCAGAAACTGATATTATACGCTGTGGGAAACACTGGTTTTTGCGATGGTATTCAACGGACCCCTCTCTTTTTTTGTAGCGTGTTGCCACAAAGAGCTGAGAAGTTTAGTGTGCTATATAGCATAGTTTCTCTACACAGAATACCCAAATGATGTGTTTCACTGCGTCAAAACTCGGAAAAAAACAGCGTGTTTCTCAGCTTCAAAACTCAGAAAATAAGAATGCATTGTACACTGTGTGTTGTGCCAAAAAGTGGAAAAGTTTAGTGTGTTGTGGCAAAAATTTCCCTAAAAGGAATACCCAGACAAAATGTCATCAGACCATACAAAAGAAACTCATATTCCAGCTATGAGCTTGCAAATTTTACACGGTTTGCATTTCATATTATGAAGGCTTTTTATTAGTCAGTCATACTGCTTGATGCCTAGAGAAGAGATCACATCACAGTCAAAATCTTTTTCTTTTGAAAGGTTCACAGTCAAAACCTTCACCTCACAGAAGTCAAACTTAATAATACCTTCTCAAAGCACTGTCATAATCATACTTACAATTTGGAAGAAGGGACCATGTGACAGTTACCTCCATCTCACAGGAACCAATCTTGATATTCTCCTTGGTTTTACCAACCTTCTTGGGAGTGAAAGTCTTACGAACTCTCCTCACGTCTTTCTCATCACTACCACGCAGTGCCTTCGCCGAAAACAAGAGCTTACCTTCGGGCTGCTGAAGCTCTACGCAGACCACACGACGTGAAAGCTCAAGCCTTCCACTAGCATCAACCGGCAACCTATCGCCTTCAAACGCAAGCAACGGGATCTCCAAGTCTTCGTAACTGGCTGTGCTGGCAGTGAATAAACCGCGGCAACCGGGCCAGAACCCATGTTTTCTGACTTTTACACTGATTGCGACTTCCACACAGTCGTATATTCGAATGTATGTCAACTCCAATGTGCTAAGCCTGCTAGGCACGGCGCGATACGACGGGCTGCAGGGCATAGACCTGACTACTAAATAGCTTAAATCCATGTCCTCCGATTCTGTGGCGCCCTTCGCCTTCAGATCGACCTCAACATAGGTAGGATACACATCCACCACAACTCCTCGGGTAGGACCTGTCAGCGTAAGAAATCTATCCTGCGTGCAAAATAATAGTAGTGCTTCAGTCCCGTCATAGGAAATGTTGTTTTCGACAAAAAGGAAAATTCCTCTTCAGTCATAATAAATTAATAATTGACGACCATCAATAGCCGAATTTACCCAAACCAAGAAGTGCCAATCTATACATGATCCACTTTTTAACTGGCATTGTTCCTAGACTTAATTAGAAACTTACTGCAGGCAAATATGGCAATATGATGAGCAAAATTAACCAGGAGGCTTGAGCCAATAATTTGTGTTGGGTGGGCAAGATTGTTCAGATCATCACAATCACTAAGACTGATGGGAGTAGTCTATATTAACAGTTACCTAATGCAAAAGAAGATGTAACATTGGGTAGCATAGTGAAAGCAAAAACGATAACAGATACATGTTTTACCTCTAGACCAACCAGACAGCGCACTATTATATCATACCTGAAGTTAGCTGAAGAACATAATAAACTGATTAGCTAGTATTCATGTACGGAGCTCGGTTATGGTTTGGCATTTGTTGCATATATTAATTTTAGCCACTCCTATCATCATGTTAAATTTAGCTGAAAAAAGAGTGAATCCATATAATCTGTATGCATGATATCGCACGTACCTTCTTGGTAAGGGTTTGACAGTTATCCCTTTCGCGATCGAAGACCATGATGTGATTGTGATCCAGCACATCCCGCACGGCGATCGTACCAAAAACCTGTAATGGCCACTGCAGGGGCTTCTTTATCTTCCCGACTTTGATCCAGAAGATCTGGAGCATCTCCTGGGTGCAGGCGTAGCGGTTGTTAGGGCGACGAAGGCCGGTGAAGCACGACGCAGGGATAGATGCTTCATGACAGACATATGTCACAGTTAGTGATGATATGGATATGCTAATAGTAGAGGTGTGTGTCAATGTCGCATGCTAGTAAAATTAGGCAGCAAAACAGCTAGGATGCATGGGAGGAGGTCGCTTACTGGTCTGGTCGAAGGGGCCGTAGTGTCGGGCGAAGATCCAGTCACTAAATTTCGGCCGAATTTCGGCCATCTCGCCTGGGCCCGGTATATGGGCCTTTCGTCCGAATTATTTGGCCCAGTTTGAATTTATTTGCCCGGCCCAGCTTCTAGGGCCTTCATGTTACGCTTCTGCTCATATAAAAGCACGAACGCAAATGTCCCAACCCTAGAATCGCTGTTTTTCCTCTCGCTCCTCCTGTGGGTGGCGCCGCCGCTGCGCACAGAACACATCCTCGCCAGCGTAGCTTCTCCGGCGTCCGGCCAACGCGCTCACTAGCCTCCCGCCTTCCTCCACATCTCCTCGCCTCCACCCCATCCAGTTCGTGCCATTCGCTGCTCCAAGACAAGGGCATGGCGCTCGGCGGCTGCGGCAACGAAGCTGATGGTGCACGAGCCAACCATGGAGGCAGTAGCACGGGGCAGCGACAGCAGCATGGAGGGCGTCCTCTTGTTTGGGAAGGTACAAGCTTTCTTGATGCGTATGCATCTCAATCAAGTACGTAGATGCAGTTTCAGTTTCAGTACGTAGATGCAGTTTCAGTACTTGTGCTTCTTTAGATGAATGAGAGGCTGCAATATCATACAGGGGTAAGAAAAACTCACTCTTGATGATTTGAACAGAGTAGTGGCATCATTAATCTGAAATACACATGCATCTTGTAGTCACCAAGGATTCTGACAATGTTTTGACTTGGTATATAATCTGAAACGTACATGCATTCGGTAGTCAGAAAGGTTGCCCACGATCTGGTAATAGAAAAGTGGTTACAACCAGTGGCTTGTGCACAAAATTAAAGCTTTTATTATCACATCCAACCACTGGCTTGTATATTTGCAGAAGCATCCCATGTTTGAATCGATCATTTATTTAGATCTACAACGCGTCCAATATAAATTTCAGTTGTGTTTGTGTATTTAACTAAGTAGTTGTTGACCACTGATTAATTTCAATGTCCAGCGGTACTAGAGCATCAGCTTGTATATAAATTATTTATTCCTTAGTATCTAAACTAGATAATCTGTCTGTACTGTTTTTGTTCCTCATTCATATCAGGACACCCTAGTAAGAAAGGTTTGCTTTCTTAGCTGTCTACTCTTTATAACTGACCGTCGTTCTTTTGTCATGTGATTTTTAGGTAATGGAACTGCAAATAGGAGTGGCAGCGGCGACCAGGATGCAAATGGAAGTGGTTCCCAAAGACCTTGGAAAGGTATTACTATGCTTTGCTTGGTCACACGATGCTATTGGAACCATGATCTTTATTTGCTAGGTTCAATTAAACTGATGTTTGTAACCTTGCAATGCAGGACTTAAAGACAATAACTTATATGATCCTTGGAATCATGCATGGCCGTATTATGGGGGTTTTGATTGCACGTACTGCAGCCTAAAGCACAAAGGTGGAGGTGCAACCCGTGTCGCGGAGCACCTTGGTGGTATTGTAGGTAATGTGAGGAGCTGTCCCAATGTGCCAAGAAATGTGAGAGATGCAATGAGAGAGTGCCGGGATGAATCAAGGAGGAAGAAAAGAGACAAACAAAATAGCAGGCTGAGAATTGAAAGAAATATTATGGAAGGGTTGTATAAAAAAGGAGGGGTAGTTAACGTACCAGATGATGATGAAGAAGAAATTCAGATGAATATTAGAGAAGCATTGCGTGACCCGAATGTCTCTCGCAGAATTGAAAGGAGAATTGGCAAGGGGGGTGTGGGTGATGTGCATGTTTCTGTTGGTAAAAGGAGTATCATCGCCTATTTTGACAGGCAATTATCTAGCAACAAAGTATCTATGCAGCCCAAGATCAGTAGTGCTTTGGATCCTAATTCAAGAGATGCACTTGGTCTAGCTTGGGGTGTGGGTGATGTGCATGTTTCTGTTGGTAAAAGGAGTATCAGCGCCTATTTTGACAGGCAATTATCTAGCAACAAAGTATCTATGCAGCCCAAGATCAGTAGTGCTTTGGATCCTAATTCAAGAGATGCACTTGGTCTAGCTTGGTCCAAGTTTTTTCATGCCAATGATATTGCTGGACGTAAAGCTGATTGCCCATACTTTCGAGCTGCTGTGAAGATCACTCAACAATTAGGGCCTATTCCTATACCAACCGCGGAGGAGATTGATGGGCCATATTTGGAGGCCAACTATGATGAAGCTAATTTATGTTTCTCTTTTTTCTGTTCTTTAACTCATGTGGCTCTATTGTTTTTCAGCTGCTGTCCTTGACCCATATACACATTACAAGCTGAACCTTTGCAACCACACAGATTATGCCACTTCACTAACAGATGCGATAGCGAAGATATTAGACCCAGTGAGTGCTCTTTCAGCCATTGATGAAGTGAGCAAGTTCAGGGAGTGCCAAGGGAGGTTTGGGACCAGATTGGCAGAAGAAGCTGCGGCGAGAATGGGGCCAAGTAAGTTATGGTGTTTTAGTTTTAGAATTTCCATTTCCTTTTGGTTTGCATTCCTGAAAATTTCATTGGTGTTATCTTGCAGCCCAATGGTGGTTTCAGTTTGGAGGGGATGTTCCTGCATTGCAGAAATGTGCAATGAGAATTTGCTCACAATGTGTCTCCTCTAGTGGGTGTGAGAGAAATTGGAGCGCTTTTGCTTTGGTGCACACAAAGCAAAGAAGTCATCTTCTATATGACAAGCTCCACAAGCTAGTTTCTGTACGCTACAACTTAAAGGTATAAACCATCACTTTTACTTTCTACTTTGTGTTGTCCTTGCATGTCATATAATTTACTTGTTTACTATTCAAACCTTGAAGATACGTGCTGAAGAAGATCAAGAGAAAGAGAGAGATATAGATAAAGAAATTGATCCAAGTGCATTGCTAATGGATACCACAATGTTTGATGAAACAAACCCAATAATGGAGTGGCTGAATGAGGATGTAGAGGATCCGATTGTGGATGGAGCTGATGCAGCTAGTGCTGTTTTTGAGCAAATAAGGCGCCTCAACTCAAGCAGGAAGGCGTCTTATGTTGGTTCAAAGGGTAATAACAAGAAAAGAAAGAGGAATGATGATGATGAGAATGAGTTTCTTGAAACTGAGAGTGAGGATGATGAAGAAGAGAATGAATATGTTGATAATGACATCGAGGATGATGATGGGGTGAGTGAGGATGATGAGGATGGTGAACAAGATCAGCTTGAGACACAAATGCAACTTGAAGAAGAGACACAAGTACAAGTTCAAAAGGAGGCACCAACAAGCACTGGCCATTTGGAGACTAGATCTGGACGACTTATTAGGAAGAAGACCAAGAACGTCAACAGCCTCTACTCGTAAATTTGGTAAGTCTCTTCTTTTTGGTGTTTCTGATTCAGGTTTGTTACTTAGAAAAATCTAGCTTGATGTATATGTTCAAAGCGGCTGATCTTTAAATAGCTTGATGTATATTGCTTTCTTTAAGTAGGTTGATCTTTAATTGTTCTCGTGCTCTAATGTTTATGCTCACTGTGTATGATTAGTACTGCTGTTCTAATTGCTCACCTAGTAGTGTTGCTGTAATTGATACTTATCTTCTTGTATTGTTGCTATAATTGCTACTTATCACATACCAGTGATGTTCTAGTTGCTACCAATCACTTAGTAGTGTTGTTCTAATTGCTACTTAACACAGTATTTTAGTTGCTACTTGGAACTGCTAGTTACTTAGATGTATGCACTCTGTATCATGACCCTTCCTCTGTTTTCTCCAAACCAGAAATGGCACGTGAGCAAGGATATCAAGAAGCTTTTGGATGTTGGGAAGCTTGGAGCTGATGCTTCAAATAAGCTGATGGTTGTCTTTTGGAGATGTTTCTATGTTTAATGCTTTAAAGTCTTTTGGCTGTACTGGACTATTTAAACTTTGAACTATGCTGTGATGGTTGAACTGATGCTGGACGGTTAAGGGTTTATGTCAGAGGCAATTTTATAACTAATGTGTGCCTGTTATGTTGGACTGTTAAGGGTTATGTTGGAGGCAATTTTATAACTAATGTGTGTCTGCTATGTTGGATTGTTAACTGTTATGTTGGAGGCAACATTATAGCTAACGTGTGCCTGTTATGTTGGGCAGATTCAATTTTCTTAATCCCTAGAGCTTATTTGCTAACGTTTATAAGATCTCTCCTGATGGTTGTTGTGCTGATATGTTTTGCTCTATTTTATTTAAAGTTTTGTTCAAATTTCGGCCGAATTTCGGCCAAATTTCGGTTAAATTTTGGCCAAATTTTCAAATTTTGATTTTGCAATTTCGTCCGAGATTTTGCCGAATTTTTTGAAATTCCCGAAATTCGGCCATTTCGGCCAAGGACGAAAAAAAACACAAACCGAAAATCATTTCACTGGCGGTGACCGCGCGCCTGGTAGGCGTATGGATCGGTGTTGGCTTCCTCGGGTATTTCCCCTTGCTTCTCTCTCGCTTCCACCATCATATCGTGGGCCGACCGATTGCATCTCCTGTTCTTCTTGGCTCCGCTGTTGGCCGCCTCCTCAGCTGCCTCGTCGGCCAGCTCCCCCAGTCCCATCATCATCGCCATCGTCTCTTCCTCGGCCGCTTCCTCGGCGGCCTGATCAGATTCAGACGGAGTTGCTGGTTCTTCAGACTCGACAGGCTCATCGTCAACATCGTCCTCATCATCATCCGCCTTGTTCCCCGCCGGCATCCCCACCTCAGGCTCAGACACAGTCGACGACTCCATCTCTACATGGATTCGTTGCTGCCGCCGCCGTAGTCTTGCCTTTCTGCAAGGCATGCCCTCGGTCTCTTCTTCGCTTGTGTTTTTCAAACTCTCGACTGACAGTAGCAGTAGTAGTACAACCTACGTAGGCGATCTGGCGATTACTACAATCAACTAGAGCATCGGTGCTGCCTATACAGGTGCGTGCGGCCACGACCGACAAGGCCACAAGTCACAGCTGAGTCTGATTCGTACCCGGAGTCCCGGACACGGCCGATCGAAGGAGACGTGGATACGAAGCACGCAGCGTCCTTTCCGTCACAGGCAGGCAGGCTGCAGCGGCGCCCGGATGCTCCACCGAGGCGTCGGGAATTCCCCTCCCGAAGCTTTTCTCGGCCGACGGCTCGCTCGTGCGGTGGCTAGGGTACGGGCGAAGGAGGGCGGAGAAGATACAGCGAAATCCAACGGCCCCGCAGATTGGCAGCGGGTCTGCACACGGAGACCAAACAGTGTCCATGCACGGCACGGTGAAAGCTGGGCCCAAGCACATCAGGCGGTGGCCTTCAGCCCATTTTCGGCCCATCTTTCTTTTTCTTCTCTACTTCTCTATTTTTCTGTCCTTCCAAACTTCCATGATTTTCCAATTTTCTTCGTAGAGGCCTCAATGATTATTAGGGGCTCAATATGTTAACGATCATGTAACCAAGGAGCATCCCAAAATGAAGGCGTAAAAAAGGTCCATGGCATCACAAGGGTTTCTCATTTCAACCCACGTCTTGGTGACTCCTTTCATTCATCAAAGCCTAAGGGCATCTCCACGCCGATCCTCAAACAACCCGCAATCTTTTGGGGAACACAGTAATTTCAAAAAATTTCCTACGCATACGCAAGATCATGGTGATGCATAGCAACGAGAGGGGGGAGTCTTGTCCACGTGCCCTCGTAGACCGTAAGCGGAAGCGTTATGACAGCGCGGTTGATGCAGTCGTACGTCTTCACAATCGACCGATCCTAGTACCGAAAGTACGACACCTCCGCGATTTGCACACGTTCGGCTCGGTGACGTCCCATGAACTCACGATCCAGCAGAGTGTCGAGGCAGAGCTTCGTCAGCACGACGGCGTGATGACAGTGATGATGATGCTACCGGAACAGGGCTTCGCCTAAGCACCGCTACGATGTGACCGAGGTGGATTATGGTGGAAGGGGGCACCGCACACGGCTGGAAACAAACAACTTGTGTGTTCTAGGGTGCCCCCTGCACCTGTATATAAAGGAGCAAGGGGGAGGACGGTCGGCCTTGGGGCGCGCCAAGGAGGGGGAGGAGTCCTCCTAGTAGGAGTAGGACTCCCCCATTCCTAGTCCAACTAGGAGGAAGGAGGGGGAAGGAAGGAGAGGGAGAGAGGGAGGGAAAGAGGGGGTGCCGCCCCCTCCTTGTCCAATTTGGACTCCCAAGGGGGAGGGGCAGCCCTATGGCCCCTCCTCTCCCTCTCACAAGGCCCATGTTGGCCCATTAGTTCCCCCGGGGGTTCCGATAACCCCCCGACACTTTGATAATTATCTAGTGGCCACTGGAACTCATTCGGTGTCCGAATATAGTCATCCAATATATCAATATTTATGCCTCGACCATTTCGAGACTCCTCGTCATGTCTGTGATCACATCCGGGACTCTGAACTACCTTCGGTACATCAAAACACATAAAATCATAATACCGATCGTCACCGAACGTTAAGCGTGCGGACCCTACGGGTTCGAGAACTATGTGGGACAACGTGTGCCGAAAATGGAGTTAGTATGGTTGAATTTGATATATCCATGAAAAACTTGTTGAACATCCGGTTGAATTTAAACTATTGTTGTACTAGACATATTTGTATGCTATTTATGGATAATATGTACTATTTTTATCCGTACTTTAATGAATTCTGTCGTGTTTGATGAAATTCATCCGATTGTTCAAAGCTGGTTTGAAATGTATGCGGTTAGCTTTGGACGGCCGGCTGCCGCATCCGTGCTCACGGACTTTGCTACCTCTTGAGCACTGCGTTGGCTTTCCCCGAAGAGGAAGGGATGATGCAGTAAAGTAGCATAAGTATTTCCCTCGGTTTTTGAGAACCAAGGTATCAATCCAGTAGGAGGCTACGCGCGACTCCCTCGTACCTGCACAAAACAAATAAATCCTCGCAACCAACGCGATAAGGGGTTGTCAATCCCTACACGACCACTTACGAGAGTGAGATTTGATAGATATGATAAGATAATATTTTTGGTATTTTTATGATAAAGATGCAAAGTAAAATAAAAGCAAAGTAAAAGCAAATGAAATAACTAAGTATTGGAAGATTAATATGATGAAGATAGACCCGGGGGCCATAGGTTTCACCAGTGGCTTCTCTCAAGAGCATAGGTATTTTACGGTGGGTGAACGAATTACTGTTGAGCAATTGACAGAATTGAGCATAGTTATGAGAATATCTAGGTATGATCATGTATATAGGCATCACGTCCGAGACAAGTAGACCGACTCCTGCCTGCATCTACCACTATTACTCCACTCATCAACCGCTATCCAGCATGCATCTAGAGTATTAAGTTAATGAAAACAGAGTAACGCCTTAAGCAAGATGACATGATGTAGAGAGATAAACTCATGCAATATGATGAAAACCCCATCTTGTTATCCTCGATGGCAACAATACAATACATGCCTTGCTGCCCCTACTGTCACTGGGAAAGGACACCGCAAGATTGAACCCAAAGCTAAGCACTTATCTCATTGCAAGAAAGATCAATCTAGTAGGCCAAACCAAACTGATAATTCGAATAGACTTGCAAAGATAACCAATCATACATAAAAGAATTCAGAGAAGATTCAAATATTGTTCATAGATAAACTTGATCATAAACCCACAATTCATCAGTCTCAACAAACACATCGCAAAAAGAAGATTACATCGTATAGATCTCCACAAGAGAGGGGAGAACATTGTATTGAGATCCAAAAAGAGAGAAGAAGCCATCTAGCTAATAACTAGGGACCCGTAGGTCTAAGGTAAACTACTAACACTTCATCGGAGGGGCTATGGTGATTATGTAGAAGCCCTCCGTGATGGATACCCCGTTCGGCGGAGCTCCGGAACAGGCCCCAAGATGGGATCTCCTGGATACAGAAAGTTACGGCGGTGGAATTAGGGTTTGGGCTCTGTATCTGATCGTTTGGGGGTACGTAGGTATATATAGGAGGAAGGAGTACGTCGGTGGAGCAACAGGGGGGCCACAAGGGTGGAGGGCGCGCCTGGGGGAGGGGGGGGGGGTAGGCGCGCCCCTAGCTCGTGGCCTCCTCCTTTGTTTCTTGACGTAGGGTCCAATTCTCCTGGATCATGTTCGGTGAGAAAATCACGTTCCCGAAGGTTTCATTCCGTTTGGACTCTGTTTGATATTCCTTTTCTTCGAAACCCTAAAATAGGCAAAAAAACAGCAATTCTGGGTTGGGCCTCCGGTTAATAGGTTAGTCCCAAAAATAATATAAAAGTGGATAATAAAGCCCAATAATGTCCAAAACAGTAGATAATATAGCATGGAGTAATCAAAAATTATAGATACGTTGGAGACGTATCAGACTTATCCCCCTATCCGTGAATAGATGTAGTGTCCGGTTTGCGGGTTCAATGTTGAAGATGCCCTAAGATCCCTTGCGAATTTGTCCATGTTGAACATGCCAAGACCCCCAAAAGCCAAGGGGCCGACACATGGAGTTCCATTTAGCTTTACATTTAGCAACTGTGGTCTGGCCCGCGCCCGCCTAGAGAAAACCGCGCTTTGAGTTTGTTGCGTTGAGAGTGCATGGTAGGACAATGAGTGAGGTGCTGAAGTAGAGCGCTTGAAATGATAGCACCGACTTGACAAGGGTCGTACGACCAATGAGGTTATGTTCTGATCCCAATCAACTTGAAGGCCACCTTAGGACATCTTCAAAGGAGACCTTCAAACCTCCGGTATATGCCCGGATTGTTTGTGACAACTTTTGTCATCCAGACGGGACCACCATCGGTCCGCCAAGTGATCCAGACATCCGTTTTTCAGCAAAACCGTGGAAAACTAGGGGAGCTATACCGGAGTCCGGACATTCACTTGACCAACAAAAAGCCACCACGTGGCTCTCCTCTCTATTCTCTCTCCGCACATGCATGATTCCCTCTCATCTCTCTCCTCTAAACCAGATAAATAAGGATTAATTGGTGAATAGCTTTGGATGACTCTCGGCATCATGTCTACGGACCATGTCCGGACATAAAAACAGACATATCAGAGACATTTACAGGTCAGCTTTGGAGACGCCCTTATCCACAGGAAATAAGAATTTCACCACTTTGAGTTGCAAAGAGGGAGGCCCAAATATTTCTTTAGGAAGGAACCTCGGGTTGTCGTGAGGTTTTGTAAGACATGATGCAATATGATGTCGCCGCATCAGATATGAACCACAGAGTTGCTGTTGAAGACATAGCACACTCAACATGAACACTGTCGTCATCATCATCCGCCTTATTCACTATCGACATTACCACCTCTAGCACACTTGACCACTCCATCTCTACATGTATTTGTTGTTGCCGCTGCGGTAGCCTTACCTTTCTGCAAGGCATGCCCTCGATCTCTTCTCTTAGAGCGTCTACAGCCGCAATCTGCAAATCCGGGTCCTCAAACGCCCGCGAACACACTTATGTCTACTACACAACCTTCTTCTTGTAGACGTTGTTGGGCCTCCAAGTGCAGATGTTTGTAGGACAGTAGTAAATTTCCCTCAAGTGGATGACCTAAGGTTTATCAATCCGTAGGAGGCGTAGGATGAAGATGGTCTCTCTCAAGCAACCCTGCAACCAAATAACAAAGAGTCTCTTGTGTCCCCAACACACCCAATACAATGGTAAATTGTATAGGTGCACTAGTTCGGCGAAGAGATGGTGATACAAGTGGTATATGGATGGTAGATAAAGGTTTTTGTAATCTAAAAATATAAAAACAGCAAGGTAACTAATAATAAAAGTGAGCACAAACGATATTGCAATGTGTT